TGTGGGATAGTAAAAACACGAAAACAGTAATACTCTAAAATGGCTACATTTGCTGAATGACGTAAATGGTCTACATGTGAAAGACCGAACGTGGTAACAGAGTGCTACCACTCCTGCTTCGTGTTCGTCAGGTTTAGGGTTCAAATCTCGGCCTGCTAGGATAGTACTTGAATGTAGGCCAAGACTAATTCCTTCCACATCCTTTCTAATTAACTTGTCCTATTCGCTTATATGCTATCACTAATAATTGTTTTTATTGCTAGTGGGGTGGGACTAAGTCCCTTGTACTGCGGCCACTTCTGGCCTATTGTACCGGCCCCAGATGATAGGTGAGGGTGATTGTGGAGCAATTGGTGGAATGAAGATTGGCAGGGGAAACCGAAGTACTCGGAGAAAATCTGCCCCCGCGCCACTTTGCCCACCACAAATCCCACTTGACCAGACCTGGGATAGAACCCGGGCCGCCGGCGGTGGGAAGCCAGCGACTAACCGCTTGAGCTATGGCGCGGCCCTTCCTATCACTAACTAACCAACCAATTAACTAACTTTACGGACTTGACTCTCTCTTGAGAAGAAACCAGTCACTCAGCTACTCAAGAATTTCCCAAAATGTTATGGAACTCGCAGTTTCATTGCCGTGTTCACAAGAGCCCTTCATTGATGCCTATCCTGAGCCAGATCAATCTAGTCCATACCACTCCATCCTTTCTCTCTAAGATCCATTTCAATATTATCCACACACCTATGTCTTTGTCTTCATTTTGGCTTTCTCACCAATTGCCTTTATTGAGCTTCTTCCCATTCATGCTGCATGCCCTACCCATCTCTTCCTCCCACACTTGATTATTGTAATTACACTTGGCGAAGCGTACAAGTTTTGCAGCTTTCTCCAACTTCCCGTCACTTTCCCACTCTTTCGGTCCAAATATTCTCCTCAGCGCCCTGTTCTCAAACACCCCCAGATTCTATGTTCTTCCCTTGACGTCAGAGATCAGTGTATCTTATCACTCGACTTTATATAATCTAAGCTATTCATATCGTTGTTAAATAAACACTAAGCCAAGCGAAATCTGCTGACCAGGCAATGAACGTCTCATCTGAGTTCACTTTTTCCGGATTTCGGGCATCATGTCACAATATTTAGTTCTTGTCTAGTATCTAGTCGTCTTTTCTGTCGGTTTTTCTGTAGCCTGCCACTGATCTCAGGGATCTTATTTCATAGGATTGAGGATCTATCGGAGCCGCTGTTCAAAATTCAGCATACACTGCCATACAAGGGAGAGGGTACTGCTAGGAGACTGTCGAATTTTAGGATACAAACATGAAAGAAATGCATACATATTGTTTGGCATCTCTTTGTGTTACAGAAAAGTAAAATCACTGCGAAGTTGAGAATCTTTATATTATGTCGAAACATTCTTTTATCAGCCAATGACTATTGAAGATAGACTTGAAAGGATTCTGACGATGGTGTATACTGTACTTCTTTTCGCTTATTTTGGACTTCACCCATCGTCTGGTATCTAAAGACAAAAAGACAAAAAACCACGACGTTTCGGAGACTGGATCTGCCTCGGTCTTCAGGTGGATAGGGAGGGATAAACCTATTCAGTTGGGCCCCTTAGAAAGAGCTAGTCTCAATCACTGGTCCAGTCGCCGAAACGTCGTGGTTTTTTGTCTTTTTGTCTTTAGATACCAGACGATGGGTGAAGTCCAAAATAAGCGAAAAGAAGTACAGTATACACCATCGTCAGAATCCTTTCAAGTCTATCTTCAATAGTCATTGGCTGATAAAAGAATGTTTCGACATAATATAAAGATTCTCAACTTCGCAGTGATTTTACTTTTCTGTAACACAAAGAGATGCCAAACAATATGTATGCATTTCTNTACCAACAGCTTAAATTCATGTTCCCAGCGGGTATGTGAGGTAGAGTTACGTGATATAAAGTAACTTTATAGTATTGTGCAGTATAATTGGATGCCTGAGGCAACTCAAACCCCACCCTCCTAGGTTCTGTTGAAATGTTCTTCTAATTGTTTTTATTTTCTTTACTACTGGTCGCTCCATCTGCGTCCCCGAAAAGCAAACTCAATCAACGTACCTGTCACATCCAGCGCCAGCTTGGCCAAATCCAATTACGCCCGCAGCGTGTCCGCTCTTTTTCCGCTTTTCCCTCTTAACAACTCCCTTCTTCATCCCCGGTCACATGCAGAGAGTTAGTTTCCTTTTTCATTAAAGATATTTGATTGCTTCATAATGTGACATTTTCTATAAAGCGAGAATCTCTGTGACAGAGCACCACCATCCACGCATTCACCCATACGCCAATCCCTGTACCTAACAACCCTGATGTCACTATGTGTATACATCCTCTGTAATAACTTGAAGTTTTGTAGATACTTGTAGAGATGGGTTGGATATGTACCAAAATGCTGAACTTTATCATAACAAACAGGGTTTGAAGATGATTGGACCATTTGACAATGGATAAGATAAAAGAGCAAATTCTTATGATCACGTTAATGAAAAGACTAGATTCGTAAAAAGCAGCTGATTCATCGTTTAGCTGAGAGCATCGAGTTCTCAAGAATGGCTCTGTTTATACAGTTATTTATGAGTTCAGCCAATTTAAAGATTATATTATTATTATTATCATTATTTTTCCTTTTTCTGAGCTACGCGTAACAGCTTTGTTATGCTATCATTACACGCACCAGCAGCATTAAGGATCTGGGTGTTTTCTTTGATTCAAAGCTACATTTTTACACACATATTAATTACATATTTTCTGAACGCATAAAGCTTTCAGGCCTTATTCCCTCCATTACCTACAGATTTCCCCACAGATTTCTTGTTCACAAGAGCCCTCAACTGGTCCCTATCCCGAGCCAGATCAATCCCATCCTATCTCTCTAAGATCCATTTTAATATTGTACTCCCACCTACGCCTTGGTCTTCCCAGTGGTCTCTCTTCTTCTGGTTTTCCCACCAATATCCTATATGCAATCCTCGTCTCCCCCATTCGTGCTGCATGCCCTGCCCACCTTATCCTCCTTGACTTGATCATTTTAATTATACTTGGAGCAGATTACAAGTTATGAAGCTCCTCATTATGCAGTTTTCTCCAACCTCCTGTCACTTCATCTCCCTTCGGTCCAAATATTCTCCTCAGCACCCTGTTCTCAAACACCCTCAGCTTATGTACCTCCCTTAACGTGAGAGACCAAGTTTCACACCCATACACTTCTTTACAAAATGAATGATTTGCACTGTCTCTCTGATTTCCTTCTCACTAACCGCCTAAAATAAATTCCACTATAATTTACATTATTACCGCTAATTAACAACGACTGTGCATGGTAATTTGGAAGTACAAATTTTGTGGATAAGTGAACGGCGATCATTTTCAGTTCTAATAGAAGATCCGATTTTGTGTTATAACAGTCATATAAAATATTTTCACTTCTGGATTCACATAGTTCTGTAAAAAAGGTAAAAATTTATCTAGTTAATGTAGGACCCTCAACGTCTCACAACCCTCTGGGCCTCCATGGCCTGTTACAGGGATAGCTTGGCTAGCTTAAGTTCACACTGTAATATTTCAGTGGTTGCCTGTCTCCAATTCCAGGTGAAAAATGAAACTTGCAGGGCGACTCAACCAAAGAAGATCACTGGCTGAACATTCAAAGTCGTGCAAATATCAGATCTCATGGGATTGGTGTTGTTTAGTGATGCGGATTGATTAAGTAGGCCATTTGCTCTCTGTTCATGCCTCTAATCTTGAGCCTGACAGAGAGCCGGCCTACAAAACACTAGATACATTATATTAACTCCATATAATGGACAATAACTAACAAGCATTCTTACACATTAACTACACAATTTTATGTACTTATTCAGCGAATAAAATTATATCACTAAAATAATTTTTCATATAAGATTAGACTCCGCTTTTGCCAAGGTCGTTTGACCATGGTCGAAATAGTGTCCAACGTTTTACGTTAGAGTTTTGTAATATAGTGTGATGAATATGGTCATTTGCTAGACAACGGCTAGGTAAACACTGCCTAAAAACCGAAATAATAGCACAAGTCATTTTTGTTAGGCAACGTTTCGGTAAAAATATTCCCAAGGTACCGCAGTCAACAGTACAGCCTCAGTTGCTTAGTAGCCAAAGTTTCGATAAGCACGTTTTCGTTACAACGAATCATCTACTTGGATTTCCATGGATACGAGCTAGCCTATATAAGGAGCCGTGCAGACTCTTCAAGGATCCGTCAGACAGAGATTCAAGGCAGTGAGAGGTTAGTCAGAAATTCAGAAGGTACTTGAATAGTTAAGTGCTCAGCTATGAAGTGTTAACCCGATAAGACCTGTTACCGAGCAACAACTAGTAAGCAGAATTTGAATATTTTATTTTGTGTGTTATAATTAAAGTAATTACAGTACGGTGTTATAATTATTTGTAGTTGCGACTTGCGAGTATTCAATAAATATATTCATCGAATCCATAATCTCTTATTATTAGTCACGACAATCCCAATACGTGACAACAGTTTTGGCAAATAAGTTTATTTTTCCCTCATTATCATCCTGATGTGAAGGAAAAGATTTAGAGATTCGCTGAATATTTTTTTTTTGCAGTGTGTGTTCGTGGCCGAGAGGAACAACAAAGTTTTTAGAGTACAGCACGTAATATTTTCAAGTGAAGTAAATGTGTTAAATGTGTAATAAGAAACATTGAATCTCAGCTCATCACAATTAAGGATTTAACACTGAATTCAGCTGAACAAGAAATTCAAACGACCTACATCATGAGGTCGGGTGGGAACGCGAATTTTAATTACCTCCAAATTTCTCCTTCCCAAAAGACCCTCACTAAAATTTAAATACGCCTCATAATTAAAATTTGAGTGACTTTCTTGTTTACTCAAAAAAGAAATTAAATAACAAAATCAGAGCCTAATTTCTTTTTTTGTCTCTGTGTATTTTGAAGGTTGCCCGAGACCCGCCTGTTCATTGTTGATCGCCTGCCATGACATCTGGCTAATTTGGGGTTCTGCTTCCGCTTCCGGCTAAAGGGGATGATGATGATGATGATGACGATGCAGGCACCAACAACGTCTCGTTCCCATCCGACCATCATCTCGCACAACACCGTGCAGCCACCGTCGCTACTACAACCGGAAGTCACACACTAAAACCTTCCTTACACTACCAAAACAAATATCACATCAATAAATTCCTGATCTTATAGTATCACATGTTCAGAAACTAAAGCAATTTCAATTTATAGAATCGTCTGTTATATGATGGTCATTATTTCAGTAATTTTCAGAGAGCCGTATTGTGGAACCTTTGCAAAATTATAAAGGGAATTGACGTATATGTATCATAACATGAGAGAGCGAGAGAGAGAGAGAGACAGGACAACGAAAGGAACACATAAAAGAATCTTAAAATAAAGGTCTCAGGAAACTCTTCCAAAAGGAACACGGACAGGAAACGTTACCATAACCAATCGCGACGACGTCGAACCCGTTTATAGTTTGTTGCAAGTCCACCATCAGCTACGTCACCATGACTACAATTCCAATCATCAACATGGAGTTCGGCGAACTGAAGGACGCAATATGGACGAAGCTGCAAGAGCCAAAATCGCAGAGAAAACTGATTCTCGTAATCGTATCAATAGCGCTGCTGTTGGATAACATGCTCTACATGGTTATTGTGCCTATTATCCCAGATTACCTCCGTTACGTGGGGGCTTGGGGAAAACAGGAGTCACCGGAAGTTCCGATCGCAAACTCTACCGTGCAATCGGGTTCAAGACCAATGCATCCTGACCATCACGGTCAGGATCAAGCGACTGGTGTGCTTTTCGCTTCCAAAGCCATTGTTCAGCTGATGGTAAACCCTTTCTCTGGGGCCCTCATTGATCGTATCGGATACGATATGCCCATGATGATCGGATTGACTATCATGTTCCTCTCAACAGCTGTGTTTGCCTGCGGCCGTAGTTATGGATTGCTCTTCTTCGCGAGAAGTCTTCAAGGGGTGGGATCTGCATTTGCAGACACATCAGGACTAGCCATGATCGCTGATCGTTTCACAGAAGAAAATGAACGTTCTAAGGCTCTCGGTATAGCATTGGCTTTCATTAGTTTTGGTTGCCTTGTTGCACCTCCATTCGGCGGAGCATTGTATCAGTTCGCTGGCAAGGAGGTTCCGTTTCTAATACTTGCTTTCGTTTCCCTAGCTGACGGTTTTATGCTTCTTCTAGTTATGAAGCCAATAAAGACACAGATTAAAGAATGTCGCAGTGAACGACCTCCTAGTATTCCAATTTGGCGTCTATTCATAGATCCGTATATCGCGGTGTGTTCAGGAGCACTTATGATGTCTAATGTAGCCTTAGCATTCCTCGAACCCACGATATCTCTTTGGATGGAAGATAACCTCACAACTGATAACTGGAAGATTGGCATGATATGGCTGCCAGCGTTCTTCCCGCATGTGTTCGGTGTTATCCTAACGGTGAAACTCGCTAAACGGTATCCCCAATACCAATGGCTGATGGCAGCTGGAGGTTTGGCGCTAGAAGGTCTCTGTTGCTTCATTATCCCTTTCTCTAGCTCCTATAAAGTTCTCATGATTCCAATCTGTGGTATATGCTTTGGTATCGCGCTCATAGACACTGCACTGCTACCAACTCTGGGCTACTTGGTTGATGTTCGCTATGTATCAGTATACGGCAGCATATACGCCATTGCAGATATTTCATATTCGGTGGCGTATGCCATTGGTCCTATTATCGCTGGCGGAGTGGTCGAAGCCATTGGATTCACAGCACTCAATGTGGGAATTGCCTTCTCGAATCTTCTGTACGCACCGATGCTTATGTATCTGAGACACATATACGACTTCAAACCCCTTGAGAATGAAGCGAACATTATGATGGCCGACCCGCCAGATAAAGAGTATCAGACGTATACAATGCATGATCAGAAACCCGTGATCGGAGATTTCAAGAATCATCTTGAATACTCGAGGTTTCCGGATGAGAACTCTTCCATAGCTAATGCTTACTATCCAGACGGCCAACCTACGCAAGTACAGGAAACAAATGTCGACAAACACACGGCAGAAGGACCTAATAGCTATACAACTGGTGGCAGTAACTATTACTCCGGACAACAATACAGACAAGAGCCAAGTAACCAACAATATCAACAGCAGCAACAGCATCAATATGCACAGCATGCTTACCAGACACAGCCACAACAGCAGGGCTACCAATCCCAACAACAGCGACAACAACAACAACAACAACAACCCAGTTACAGCAATGTCAACGTACAAAGATCAGAGTCGTCAAGAGGCGACACGAATCCCTTCAGAGCTCAAGGAGCAGGAGGGGGGACGGAAGAAGGGGATAAGAACCCTTTCCGCCAAGGATTGGGGTATTAAATTCTATAATCCCGGGAATAAAGAAGCAGAACTGATTCCAATATCGTTCCCTATCCATGTGTGTCACGTGAAAAACTACTTCTAATTGCTTAGAATTTAATTTATGCAGTGATATGTTGAAAACTTCTAATATCTAAGCTGCTGTAAGCGTAAAACCAAGATGTTAAAAAATTAGCTTCTGTTCATTTCAGACATTTGAACAGCCATATTTGTACGCATATTTCTTGTCGGGTTTATCGTGTTTTTATTTTCTGTATCATTAGAGTAAAACTACAAATATCACCACAGAAAGAAAATCAACTAAATCTGCATTATGGAAATTATACACGTCAGTAAGACGAAGTGGAAATGAACTGCATTTATCTTTTACATCATAGTTTTTAAATAATATTAACAAAGAGATATAAAAATATGTAGATACCGGAGATCAGATTAACTGTTCAAACGGAGTTACAGTTAGACTGAGAAACGACTAAGATCTGGCATATATCGATTTTTGTCCCCGATATGAATCCGCAAAATTATAATCTTCAATGTTGCAGAAAATGAAAAGCTATGCTACTTAGTGGTAACTTTAAAATGATTTTTCGTCTGTCAGCACAAAATTTGTCAATAAAAAATGAAAAAATAGACTCATATATAAAATTCTTTACAATATATTCTGTGAATGTTGCAATAGTTCTTTCAATCTCAAATGACTTAGAATATTTAAAAATGTAAAATGTTAACAGCTTTATAGATTTTGTAGACCTCTGAATTAAATATTCTAAGATGTTTCCGGTTGAGAAGACATTTATAATTTGTTTCTTTGGACAACCCTCCATTCCATAAATTTATAAAAACTAATTCTGAAGCAGAAACACAAATATATACACGTGAGCGTTCCGTTCGAATTACAGGAGTGAATACCAAATTCCTATAATTGCTGTTTATAGAACAATTTACTTTGTGACAAATGCAAATGTCTTTAGTCTTACATAAAAACAGCATAATTCACAATTTGAAAGCTTTTTTCCTTAGTGCAAATTTTCTTAGATCCGTAACACAGAGAGAGAAGAAATGTTAATAATATGACGAGGAAGAAACATGTCACGAGATGTAAAATATTATGGTCAGGTGTAAAAGTTAATTCCTCCCCAATATTTTGCATATTAACATGTTTCTCACCGCATGTAACAGCATAATCTTTGGTTAAAGTGTCCAAATATAAAAAATACTTTGAATTATATGATCTAATTTTAAAACAAAAGACTTAGTTTTCAAAATAAAATCCCAGTTGATAAGCCATAATTATATAAAAAATTGAATCCCTTAAAATAAAATACAAATTCCTCTGATTATCCCCTCGCATGACTGCTCTAGTTTTTATTTAAGAGAAGTTTCAAATGTAGTTTTAATAAGATAGGAAAATCTGATCGCATCTATAGCAGAGGACAGATAACTAGTAAGGGTATCGACAAACAAAAGAAGCTCATTTTTTACGTTACATAGTACTGGTGAGGTATGATTTGTAGGCAGTGCACTCTAGCGGTAAGAATGGAAAACAAATGAGCATATGGATATTACTGAATTTAATGCCAGTGTCATAGATATAACTACAGAGGCTGAAATGCTACAGTTATGTAAATATGTTATATTTTTATTATCATGCTTATGTTGAATCTGAGTATTCTCTTTTTATTACATAATACTTAGGTGAATCACTTGAAATATTAAATATGTAACGACGTAATGTTCATTGCATTGTATTCAATTTAGAAACAGTATATTGTATATGAATATGTAGAACTGTGTCACAATTTAAATAAATTCATAATTGAACATATTTTGCACAAACATAGTACTGTGTGTTTGTGTGTGAGTGTGTATGAGAGAGAGAGGCTGTATATGAAGTGTGTTATTGACGACATGAGGAACACTATATCATTAAGGGATATAATAATTTACGCGAAGAACTCTACTAACCATCACTGTAATTATAAAATATTGTTAAAACTGTTGACTTGACTGGTGAGTGCATGTTAGAATTTTGCACATACTCTCCAGTGATTTGTGTTTTTATTAATTAGAATACCTCCATCAAAATCACCAAAATAGTAGGTATATTTATATGTCCAATAGGTGTAAGATTTTCTATTATGAACAACCAAGGTAAAACACATATCAAGTACTCATATTTAGGAAGAAGTTAAGAAGTGAACTGTTCAAATATGTGATATTGGGAGAGCAGAATGACATTGCTCTTCTAAAAATTATAGATTGTAATTAGACATTTCTTGTTAATATGTTATAGATTAGTTAAGGCGACCCGTAGCATTTGGAACTATAGTTCTTATTTCGGGAAGGGATAATGAACTAATTTCATAATCTCCAATACAGACAGGTAAGTTTTCATTTGCTCTTCGATACGTTTTCGGGAACTTACTATTAGACTTGAAACAGCTGAACTAAGTATTGTAACCTTACGTCATGTTGGCCAGTCAGACCACTGCCCTTCCCCCCTTCCGATGGTGAGAGGAATATCACAGTTTAAAGTACGGGAATTAAGCATTTCAATGTAACTATATCTTTATTGTGATTGGATTATCGTTTGAGAAACATTCTTTTACGTTTGTATTGAAAGAAGTTGCCGATCATAGTGGCTGCGTGGTCTGAGGTATGAACTGTCTTCACTCGCTCAAATGCTGGGGTCGTGGGTTCGAATCCCCCTCAATGCATGGATGTCTATGTGTGTTTATTCTGTATTTGTGTTGTTCTGTGTGTTGCGATGGGCTGATCCTCCCTCCAAGGAGACCTACAGACTGTGTATAGGATCAGTAAACTGAAAAAGAGGCTAAGGCCCAACAAAGGGCTGTAGAGCCATAATAATTAGAGTTGAAAGGGGTTAAGTTAATATAAATTACTTTATAGCTGTTTATCGTAATTTCATGGAACATTATTAAAGGTTTCCAGGGACATCATAATATTGTCCTTGTAGAGTCTGCAAGGCGGTGATGTCCATGCTTCAGTGAATTATAGTGAACAGCATAAAATATTGTGCTTTCTCAGATATAACTAATAAGTTTATACTTAGAGTGGAACAGTACTGCGTTAAACAACAGCATAAAGTGTACCAATATATAATATTGTTTCTTGTCATGTTTTCTGAAAGAGACCTCCACAATTCTGAGAAGACATTATAATTCATTCATTCATCAGTAATCTGTCAAGACGACAGGTCCACAGTCTCTTCCAAAACAGGTCCTCCACTTGATGCGATCTAGAGCTTTCTCCTTCAAATGAAACATCTCGCATACATGGTATCTCTGGTTTTGGAAAGAGACTATCCAGGAAAATTGATAATGTGGTAGTTTTTCCATTTGCTTTCCACATCGCAGTACAATAGGCGTTCAAACCACTCTGGTCACGCCTGTTGCTATACGAACTTGAACCATCTCGAGCATTATTTACTCTGTGCTTCAAGTCGCTGCTGATGACGCTGCTTCCGGCATCAGTTTTTGGTGTCTCTCTTCGTCTGATGCCTACCCTTTGACCTGTCCAGCAAGGGAGGCCCTGCCAGTAGCTACGCTACCGCTGGTATAGCTCTCAGGGTCCTTGGCATACTCAAACCCCCTCACCACGATTAGGTGGAGCCACCAACGATGAATGTGATGCTGTGATGAAAAAACTTTATTTTTTCTGGCTGCTCCCTAATTCAGGGGGGGGGGGAAATTGAACAGTTCTTTCACAATTTAACACTCCAACAGTGGTTTAGGAAAACTGATTTTTCACTAAATATCTGAAGGAATATAACTTTTAGCAAAATATATATCACATGTAGGCAAATATTTCCTTGTAAGATTTGAGGCTTTCACGGCGGTGACTATGAAGAAAGCAGTCTTCTGGGATTTGGCACCGTGTATATGTGGTGTTAACCGACGTTTCGGAGGAACGTATCGCCTCCATCTTCAGGTAGAAGAAAAAATATAAGAAATCTGCAAGCGAAGAGACCGTGAGAACCGGTTTGTTCCTCCGAAACGTCGGTTAACACCACATATACACGGTGCCAAATCCCAGAAGACTGCTTTCTTCAAATATTTCCTTACCGATCACTACTGGAGATTATGAAGTTAGTCATCGTTGTTATATTATAGATTGTTCCTTGTGCACTGATTTATTACGTGTCTGTTTTAAGCGAGAATTATTTTTTTAAATATGTTTTCAAATGTAATAGGTTATATGTATATATCGGCGTATATTTTGGACCAAATTGAAACTACTGTTAACATAATCATCTGTTCTATCATACTATTTCTGGTACTTTGAAATGTAATATTCTCACATTTCCATAAAAAATATCTATGACATTTTAAACTTACATTTATTAATGTCAGGTTTAAAAGTAACATATACGTGTGTATTTGACGATGCTGATTCAAACTGATTAATATAGGAAATTGAAAAACTAATACTAAATCTATGTTACATAATTGTTACTAACAATTATTTCGTTGTATATCACCGTTTGTCAGAATATATAATCGATAAAATTTATTGTTCTGATACCAGAAGAAATTGCTCATATGTGTACTATAGAAGAAAAATGCAGTATAATTATTAATTAATCAAGTTATATAATTGTGAAATTTTATTTAAATTACTCTTCAGTGCCATACTGCACCATACTTGTGTGTAGGCCATATGCAGTGTATTAATCTGTCACTCAACGTTTTATTTTTATTCACAAACAATATTTATATTTAAAAGCAATTGATATATAATTATTTCCACATATATTTTAATTTTCCATTGCGATTTGTGCCGTCTATATAAATTAAGTACATAACAAAAATTTATTATACAGGAAAGGCAACCTGTTGTTAAATATTCTTTCTTTTTATGGAGCTGTTACTACAGAACTTTATTTATGATCAATGGTCATCGCCAAATTCAAGCAATAATGTGTTTGTAAATGTTAAACGTCCCATTACATATCAGTAGAAGTCCACATAAAATACATATCATATGATACCGTTTAAAAATATAAATATACAAGATGAATAATTAATACACAATGGTATTTTAAGGCAGATTGACAGCAGTTATTTATGATGCAGCTATCTAATATTTCCTCATTTTGTACGTCCATGAGTTGTCAGTTAGTGTTCAATGTTATTTCAAAATTTAAATTGGAGAAAGTCCTCGTTTAACGCGAAAAATACGTTTTCGTAGAACGCGACGTTGTGTGAAACGAAGTTAAGAGGGTTCATTTTTACAATAAGAAACGTTAAGAAATGAAAGTTACGCTCATCAGCCTTTTTCATCCCTATAACACTCATTGCAGTATAGACAATATCAACTCAACCTTAAACATTTGCATATTCTTAGATATAAATACACACAATTATGACTTTTAATAATATTTATTTAGTATTCAGTATGATATATTTTACTGACCGATGGTCAAAGTGAAGCGAGCGAGTTGTGGATGACTATCTGGTTTCGTTAACACTAAACAATTGTTTGGTCGAGCAAACCTCCTCTTCGATTCTTTTATTAAACTCTGGGGTAAACAACAACGCAATAACGAGGTAACATGACATCATGTGGAGCCTTGGTATGAAAATAGTATCAATGTAATAACAAAACAAAGTTAACTGGGCCAATGTTAGGAGAGGACTTGCTACATTTTCACATTAATAACGTAAAACAAAGCAACATGGTCTTATGACAGCGTATTTATAAATATTAATTCACCTTCATCGTGACTTAAATGTAACATAGTGATTTATGGTCTTACATGAAAGTGCTCTACCAGAAATAAAAGTATTATAACAAGACTAATTTGAATTAATGATATATTTCTTTGTATATAAACATAAATCAGTGAATGTAACATCTTAATATCTGTGGAAGGCACAGATGCATAGAACGCCTAAGAAGACAACGATGTTTAAGTGTCTGCATAATGCCATTCAGTAACAAAATACGATAGATTTGAAGTTATATTATAAAACAGAGAATTCCGATATGTTAATTAACTGTTGAAAATTTGTCGATATTTTCGTGAAACAAATTGAGAATGTTAGAAACAAAACATGAATACAAAGGAACAAAATTTCTCATGGTCCTAGATGTATTGATTGTTTATAAAAACGCATCAATGCAACAATTGCAGTGCCTCAAATGAAATAAAGTTGAACGTTAGTCACTTGTGTTGAGAAAGTCAGCCTCCATGCAACACACAATATAAACTTTGAAGAGAGGTAATAAAGAGTTATATCTTTGGGGTATACCGCCGAGTAGTACGGTAAATTTCAACCGACGTTTCAGAGGAACATGTCGCCTCCTATTTGTAGGGTTGAATAGTAAGCCAAGCATGAACAACATGAAGAAGACAGCAAGTAGAAGCTACATCATTGGGTTACTATTCAACCCTGAAGATTGAAGCGGCGTGTTTCTCCGAAAAATCAATTGGCTTTCGCCTGACCAGATGGCGTTTTATTCCGGATGATATCTTCATAGCCACAGCTGTTAGAACACAAAAATTTAGAAAGATGAAAGAAATCTTAATTTGAAATCTGTTTCGAATATATTGCACGTGAATGCTGAGAATATTAGTCGGGATGAGTATTAGCTGGCTGCATTATCAATTAAATCGATTCCATTAACCTTAAAATGACTATTCAGTTAAGGATCTTGTAGTAATTGGGAATCATTTGTTTTTGGGAAGCAATATATTTTATGATTTTGCTGGTAAATCATGCAAGCTTAAACTAAATATATTTTAAATCTAATATGGTATCACAGGTAAGACATCGAAAATAACATCATTTATTTAAGAATCTGAGGAATCATTTCGTGCCTACAGGAGTTATAAAATAAAACAAATTAAATACTTTTTATTAGTGGCTCAAATAAACCAATATTTATTTTAGTATTATGTAATATAAATGAAGAGGAACGTTAAACTAGAATAATTATTGTATTTTATCAACATATAAATAAAATTAGAATTTTTTAATCATCTGAGAATCAACTGTGACGTATAGAGTATTTTTGTTTGTAATTATCTCTTATTAAACTCTTTACGTTAAATTTTGGCGAACAAAATTTTCATGCTAAACTATGAAACGAGAGGAATATTTCAGCGATTTTAGTCGAGTCAGTTGCGTACTATCTTCTCTGATTTTGTACACCACATCATTCTAATTATACAGACGTAATTCTTAAAGCATTAATTGACGTTTCGATTTCAACAATTTTATGTATGAGTAAATACAAATAAAAGCACACGAAAATATTCTCACTGGTCCCTGCAGAATAACGTAAGTATATACTCATATTTATAAGCATCAACTAGGATACAGCATAATGAGGGTGACAGTTACAGAGTGTAAGCCCTTGTTAGCTTATAAGCAATAATTTCTTCAGCTCGAATCCTCTGACACAATGCTGGATATTCTCCAAAACTTTTAACATACAACTCATAATTATCATTTAAATATATCTTACTTAAATTTAATACAAATTTTCCGTGTTATTATGTAACAACTTCTTAAAATGAAGTACTTCAAAAATATCTTTATAAAGAGAATATACTTCTGTGACAGACGTACGCTCGACACGTGATCCGATCATTCATGGAGCTGAACTATTCTTGGGAAGCCGCCATTTGTACAGCTACTCAAGGGTTCCCCAAACTTTTATGGAACTCG